AGTGAACCAGCGGATGGAAGACCTCTCTCCCTCCCTCTCTGTCTGTCTCTCTCTCTCTGCCTCACCAGCTCTCCACCTCTCCTTCTCTGTTTAACTCTGACTTTCAAATAAATAAATCTTTAAAAAATAAAATAAAATTTAAAAGTGGCTTTTGCTCAGGCCTCCTACTGATCTCTTCTTACAGTTTAAGAATAATTTGGCTCACCTTAATTATTTTGAGATAAATTTATTGACTGCTATTATATTGTGATTTCTTCTGTAGAAAACAGTCTATCACTTATAATTTTCTGAGTTTAATAATGCCAACTGGGACAGGCATTTGGTCACTTGGGACACTCACATCCCATATCAGAGTGCCTGATTCACGTCCCCGCTCCTCCACTTCCAATCCAGCTTCCTGCAGTTGTGCGCCCTAGGGGCACCAAGTGATGGCTCAAGTACGTGGGAGACCTGGAGTTACTGCGGCACAGTTAAGCTACATTTGTCATGCCACCATCCTTGATTAGAGTGCTGGTTCAGTTCCAGCTGCTCCACTTCTGGTCCAGCTTCCTGCTGATGTGCCTGGGAAAACAGCAAAGAGGGCCCAAGCACTTGGTGCCCTGCCACCCACGTGAGAGACCTGGGTAGAGTTCTTAGCTGCTGGCTTCAGCCTGACCCAGCCCTAGCTGCTTCAACCATTTGGGGAGTGAACGAGCAAGTGAAAGACTTTCCTTCTCTCTCTCTCTCCCACCCCTTCTCTCCCCGCCCCCTCTTTCTCACCGTCACTCTGCCTTTCAAATAAATAAATACATAAATACATAAATATTTTTTAAAAAAATATTTATTTATGTACTTGAGACACAGTTACAGAGAGAGGGAGAGACAGAGATCTTCCATCCACTGGTTCACTCCCCAGATGACCACAATGGCTGGAACTGGGCTGATCTGAAGCCAGGAGCCAGGAGCTTCTTCCAGGTCTCCCACGCAGGTGCAGGGACCAAGCACATGGACCATCTTCTGCTTTCCCAGGCCATCAGCAGCGAGCTGGATAGAAAGTGGAGCAGGGGCCGGCTCTGGCGTAGTGGGTAAAGCCACCACCTGCAGTGCTGGCATCCCATGTGGGCTTCGTTTCTAGTCCCTGTTACTCTAATTTCTATCCAGCTCTTTGCTATGGCCTGGGAAAGCAGTAGAAGATGGCCCAAGGACTTGGGCCCCTGCACCCACATGAGAGACCCAGAAGAAGCTCCTGGCTCCTGGCTTCAGATTGGCGTAGCTCTGGTCATTACAGCCATGTGGGGTGTGAACCAGTGAATGGAAGGCCTCTCTCTCTCTCTCTCTCTCTCTCTCTCTCTCTCTCTCTCTCTGTCCCTGTCTCTCTCTCTCTCTCTCTCTCTCTGCCTCTCTATAAGTCTGCCTTTCAAATAAATAAATATTGAAAAGAAAAGAAAGAAAGTGGAGCAGCTGGGACTCAAGCCGGCACCCATATGGGATGCCAGCACCCAGGCAGATGCTTAACTTACTACACCACAGCACCAGCCCCCAAGAGAACCATTGCAGCAGAAACACTGGCTGGACAACTGCGCAGTTCTTGCAGAAGGAAAAGATGAGATCAGCCCCTCGAGAACATGTTGTTATTATGAATAGGGATTGGAGAGCCTGTTTTCAAGTTCTGGCTCCTTCCCAAATCCAGCTTCCTGCTAACGCATCCCGGGAAGCAGCAGGGGGCAGCTCATGGAGTCGAGTCCCTGCCACCCACGTGGGAGACCTGGCTGGGGTTCCAGGCCCCTGGCCCCAACCTGGCCCAGCTCTGGCTGTTAGGGGCATTTGGGGAGTGAACTAAATCAACAAATACATTTTTTAACGTGATTTCCTTGGAGTTCACTCTCTCGGGCCGTCCTGTGCGAGTGTAGATAGTGCTTTGCTCCCTGGCTGCTTTCCGGAACGGTTGCTCTCACTTCGCCGTCAGCGGGGAACGAGTGCAAATCTTGCCACCACATCCTTACCCACCTTGAATGTTGTAAAAATTTTTTTTATTGTTGCTACTAATTTTAGAGCTGTGATTTTTTTCTTCTTAGACAAATGTTTTAGCGTCATTTATGTACCGGCTGTGATTTTCTGGAACCCGTGTTGAACAAGACAGCTCTGTGTCCTAGTGAGATGCGCTAACAGCACTAGGGCATCTAACCCAGGCCAGGTTGGAAGGGGAGAAGACGCTCCCTAAGCTGAGACCTGAAGCAGGCCCGTGAGCCGTGCGCAGCAGCAGCAGAGGGGAGGCGTGAGGGGCGGCCCGAGCGGAGGGTCCGTCAGAGGGGAGAAGGGCAGGCTGCGGTGGGGGCCTGGGCGACCTCAGATGTGGTCCCAAGCGTCTCTGAGCACCGCCCCCTGGGGAGAACCTGCTGTGTACCGCTCGGAAAATCACGCCTCTGACCTTGAGCCGAGTGCGGCTGAGACGAGGACGTGCGTGGACGGTCACAGCACGTCTTCCTGTGGCCTGACTCCTGGGGACGCAGCCTTGACAGATGTTATTTATTTTCTTGGTTTCAGGGTTCAAAAAGGATTCTTCGCTCCAACGAGATCATCCTGCCAGCCAGTGGCCTAGTGGAAACAGAGCTGCAGCTCGCCTTCTCCCTCCAGGTAGGAACGTGGTCCCAGACAGTCCTGCAGCCTGGAGAGCGTGCTACCGCCGAGGGCGAGACGAGGGAAGGTCCCCAAGCGGCGCCCCCGCCGCCCCCGGAGGGGCACCGAGACCTCCCGGGCTGCCGGGGAGCCAGCTGCCCCCTCCCCCTTTCCTGGCTGAGACCACCTGCCGGGGCCCCTCGTCCTGCCACGCTCGGCTCTGTCCCCTCCTTCCGGGTCCTCAGTGTGTACCCCACCCATGTGATCATCCCCTTCCTTCTCTCCCTTCACCCCCCTCCTCCTCCTCTTCCTTCTCGGATGTATCTCATCCTAATCCCGGCAACCCAAATCGAAATACCTGGGATCACACGGCAAAGCCGTAGTTTCTGAACACCCGTGGACCCGGGGCTTAGCGGAAGCCCCTCCGGCGGCGTCTCACCCACGTCTCTGCCACACCCGACCTCCCCTTTCTCAGGGAAGCTGGGGCGGGGGACAACTGTGTGTCCCGAGCCAGGACCAGAGCCCAGCAAGGCCCTGCCTGCCGAGTCACCACCCTTGGCCCTGTCTTGTGCTCAACAGTACCCTCACTTCCTGAAGCGAGACGCCAACAAGCTACAGATCATGTTGCAAAGGAGGAAGCGCTACAAGAACCGGACCATCCTGGGCTACAAGACCTTGGCTGTGGGGCTCATCAACATGGCGGAGGTGAGCAGGACAGTCCCCGCGTGCCAGCCCTGCATGCGGAGCCGAGGGCGACGTGGGCCAGCCGGGGCTCCCAGCGCAGGCGATTCTGTTAAACTTTATTCTGTAAACTCATTGGTCAGAAATTCAGAAATGCCTCTTTCTATCAAGTACCTGTTCCTCACGTTTTTTCTTTTTTATTTTTTTTTTAAGATTTATTTATTTATTTGAGAGTCAGCGTTACACAGAGAGAGAGACAGACAGAGAGGGGTCTTCCATCCGCTGGTTCACTCCCCAATTGGCTGCAATGGCCAGAGCTGCGCCGATCTGAAGCCAGGAGCCAGGAGCTTCCTCCAGGTCTCCAACACGGGTGCAGGGGACCAAGGACGTGGGCCTTCCTCCACTGCTTTCCCAGGCCACAGCAGAGAGCCAGATCAGAAATGGAGCAGCTGGGACTAGAACTGGTGCCTACATGGGAGGCTGGCACTGCAGGCCAGAGTGTTAACCCACTGCTCCACAGCGCCAGCCCCCACATTTTTTCTTTAACTTTTTATTTGGGGGTTTTTGTTTTTGAGGGAAAGACCTCTCCTCCACTGGTTCATTCCCAAACACCCACCCCTGTCTAACTTTCTAAAAGACAACTTCAGACTGAGAGAAGAGCTGTTGGGACCCTGTTAGGAATTTCCAGCCCCAGGTTCGCCCCCGCCGTGCGCTCGGCGTGTCGCCGCACGTGCCTTGCAGTTCTCGCTGTGTGTGCGCTTGGGCACACGTTACGTTCTTTGCTGAGCCAATTGAGAGCGAGTTGCCGGCATGCGGCCCCCTTACACGTAAATACTGCACCATGTCGGCTTCCTATACACGAGAACACTCCCGGCCTACCCTGTGCCCCCACGAAGGTCAGCACACTGACACCGACGGCGCTCCTCCGTCTGCGCCGGGTCCCCGTGTCTCGGCTACCTTGTTACCTTTTTTTGTTTGTTTGTTTTTAAGAGATTTATTTGTTTAATTTGAAAGGCAGAGAGAGAGAAGGAGAGACGAGATCTTCCATCCACTGGTTCACTCCCCAGATGGCCACACTGACCAGGGCTGGGCCAGGCTGAAACCAGGAGCCAGGAGCTTGTTCTGGGTCTCCCACGCGAGTGCAAGGGCTCAGGCACTAGGGTCATCTTCGCTGCTTTCTCAGGCGCAGTAGCAGGGAGCTGGATTGAAAGTGGAGGAGCCAGGACTTGAACTGATGCCCATACGGGATGCCAGCGCTGCAGGCCATGGCTCAACCTGCTGCACCACAGTGCCGGCTCCTCTCGGTGACCTCTGGGCCGGGATCTGGTCCAGGGTTCTGAGTTGCGTTTTGTCGTCCTGCCTCTGGTCTCCTTCGGTGTGCCGCAGCCCCCAGATTTCCTTGTCCCTGTGACCTTGGCGTGTTTCAGGTGCACAGGCTGGAGAGTTTATTGAGCATGGCTCAGTCCGGGCTCATGTGGCGTCGTCGCGAGATTAGCTTTAGTGTGTGTGTCCTGGTGGGATGACGCCAGGGGTCCCGCTCTGCTCCTCCTGGAGCGTATTGAGCGTGGCTCAGTCCGGGCTCGTGTGGCGTCGTCGCGAGATTAGCTTTAGTGTGTGCATCCTGGTGGGATGACGCCAGGGGTCCCGCTCTGCTCCTCCTGGAGCGTATTGAGCGTGGCTCAGTCCGGGCTCGTGTGGCGTCGTCGCGAGATTAGCTTTAGCGTGTGCGTCCTGGTGGGGTGACACCAGGGGTCCCACTCTGCTCCTCCTGGAGCAGCCTGGTAGAAAGCCGGGTTCTTCCTGACGTTCTTCGTGACGTTCACTTTCACCACTCGCACAAGATGGTGGCTGCGGAGTTTTCCTGTTGTGTGATAAGCATTTCGCATCCATTAATGAACAAGTACTTCATGGGGAGGTGGTGTGAGGTTACTCAGTGACTCATTTCCCGCCTTTCCCCAAGTAGTCTCAGCAGCTGTAGATGATTCTACCTAACTCAGTTGTTATCTGATGCTTGCCACTTGGTGAGTTCTGCATCTCACCAGTCTGCTGTATTTGCTCATTGGTTTCCTTTCTGGTCACCACAGTGACCAGGGCTGGGTGGATCTGAAGCCAGGAGCTTCCTCTGGGTCTCCCATGCAGGTGCAGGGGCCCAAGCACTTCCATTGCCTTCCCAGGCCATTAGCAAAGAGCTGGATGGGAAGTAGAGCAGCCGGGACCCGAACTGGTGCCCACATGGGATACCGGCGCCGCAGGAGGAGGCTTAGCCTGTGCCGCAGCGCCGGCCCCTCTTTCCTTCTTTCAGGATTTATTTATTTATGTATTTGAAAGCCAGAGTTAGAGAGAGAAGGATCTTTCATCCACTGGTTCACTCCCCACATGACCACAAAGGCCAGGGCTGGGCCAGGCCAAAGCCAGGAAACTGGAACTCCATCCAGGTCTGCCACATGGGTGCAGGGGCCCAAGGACTTGGGCCTTATTCCTCTGCTTTCCCAGGCCACAGCAGGGAGCTGGAGTGGAGGTGGAGCAGCCGGGACTTGAACCAGCGCCCACACTGGGTGCCGCTCTTGGAGGCAGCGGCTCAATCTGTGCGCCACAGCTCCGCCCCGTTCTTGGTTTTCTGTTGAGATGGAGCGTTCCCTTTCCCCGTTTACTGCCTGGCTCGTTTATGGGCATCGGCTGTGGACCAGTGGATTCCGCTGTTCCTCAGCTGAGTTTAGTCAGTACTCGAGAAACAGCCGTCTCGTCTGCAGGTTCACGCACCAGAGGCCTGCAGTGGCCGGGGCCAGAACCCGGAGCTGGGACTCCGTGCAGACCCCCCCGCCGGGGGGTGGCAGGTGCCCGGTGCCCCACCGTCTGCTCCTGTCCTGCTCGCTCCCAGGGTTCGCAGTACAGGGAACTAGGATTTGGAACCAGAGCCGGATTGAACCTGGGCACTCTGAGATGGCACATGGTGTCTTAGCCGGCTTAATTACTGCCATCTTTTTTTAATTTTGATATTTAAATTGTCTCAGATGTGGCCGCCGGAAGCCACTAAGCCGGCCTCTGGGTCCTTTTTGTCTCTTTACACACTTTCCTGCTTTCTGGAACAGAACATTCCAGGCGCATGTGTGCTTTGTGAGCCAGCCTTGGAATGCGCAGGCAGAGGAGCCCTGGCTCGCTCTAGTGGAGCGTGGTGTGGGCCCCAGAACCTCGGAGTGCCCACTTCCCGCTCTGCTCCCTCAGCGGGCAGAGCCGGGACGGTGTGAGGAGCAGGACGCGGGGGTGTGCGAGCTTCCTGCCCACAGCTGTAGTAGGACGTAGAGGTGCGCAGTCGCCCCCGCAGGCACCGCGCCCTCGGCTCTGAACCGAGGCCGTGTGGGCCCAGGCCGTGGGGGTGCGCGGGCGCCCTCAGCTCTGAACCGAGGCTGTGTGGGCCCAGGCCATGGGGGTGCGCGGGTGCCCTCGGCTCTGGGCCGAGGCCGCGGGGGTGCACGGGCGCCCTCGGCTCTGGGCCCAGGCCGCAGGGGTGCGCGGGCGCCCTCGGCTCTGGGCCCAGGCCATGGGGGTGCGCGGGCGCCCTCGGCTCTGTAGCCCCAGCACACCTTGATCCCCGGTTCTCACCCTGGCTCCTCCCCTAGCCTCTCTGTAGGCCAGTTCACCTACGGATCGGGTCGGGTATTTGCTCACCCGTTCTCCAGCCAGGCGGATCCTCTCCTCCCTCGTGAAGGGGATGATGGGAGAAGCCATCCAACAGGTGTCCAGGCGTCTGTGTCCTTGAGTGCGTTAAACGGGAAATATTTTGCGGCCACAAGAGAACGTGTGAGTCCCACCCTGCCCTTCTGTCCCCTTGGATTTGCATCAGGGCAGAGGGAATGCAGGTTCCCGGCTGTCAGGCCCCGCCCTTCTCCCGTGTGCGTGGCTGTTTCTCATTGCGAGACAGGTGACCCTGGCCGCAGACCCGGCCTCTCCCAGGCTGGGAACCTGGGTCTCTGGGAAGGACCGGAGCTAGAGGTCGGCAGTCATTTTCTGGGTGGCTGGCTGAGCACAGGCGCAACGGGAGGGGGTTGGCGCTGTGGTGTGGCAGGTAAAGCCGCCACCTGCAGTGCCGGCATCCCATATGGGCGCCGGTTCAAGCCCTGGCTGCTCCTCTTCCACTCCAGCTCCCTGCCATGGCCTGGGAGGGCAGTGAGTGTTTGGGCCCCTGCCCCCACATGGGAGACCCAAAGGAAGCTCCTGGCTTCAGATCAGCCCAGCTCCAGCCATTGTGGCCATCTGGGGAATGAACCAGCAGATGGAAGACCTCTCTCTCTGTCTCTCCCTCTCTCTGTCTGTAACTCTACCTCTCAAATAAGTTAAACTAAACTTTTTGAAAAAACAAACAAGGCGCTGGTGCCGCGGCTCACTAGGCTAATCCTCCGCCTTGCGGCGCCGGCACACCGGGTTCTAGTCCCAGTCGGGGCCCCGGATTCTGTCCCGGTTGCCCCTCTTCCAGGCCAGCTCTCTGCTGTGGCCAGGGAGTGCAGTGGAGGATGGCCCAAGTGCTTGGGCCCTGCACCCCATGGGAGACCAGGAGAAGTACCTGGCTCCTGGCTTCGGATCAGCGCGAAGCGCCAGCCGCAGCACGCTGGCCGCGGCGGCCATTGGAGTGTGAACCAACGGCAAAAGGAAGACCTTTCTCTGTCTCTCTCTCACTGTCTAACTCTGCCTGTCAAAAACAAAACAAAACAAAACAAAAAAACAAAAACAAACAAACAAAAAAAAAGGCACTGGGAGGGCAGAGGCGTGGATCTGGAGCGGGAGAAAACGTGTACTGGGATTGCCATCGTCATTGGCTTCAGCGGCCAACACGGAGACTTCCGGGACCTCTGATGGCGTGGGGTTCCTCCCCACCAGTGAGCAGCGGACACCTGCTGGGTGTCCCCAGACTCCGTTTAGTCCTGACAGACACTGACCGCCTGGAGGGGGCCTCACAGCCCTCGGTTGAGGCTCGGCCGCCTGGGCTTCAGGTGCCGGCCGCAGGCCCCAGACCGTCTGACCTGCGCCTGGCTGTTAGTTAACCTGCTAGAGTGGTCACAGAATTCAGAGGAGCACTTTCGAGGGCCCACCAGCTGTTACCAGAGAGACCACAGAGGCTGCAGATGAGGAGACACGTGGGGAGGGCACCCTGTCTCCAGGCGCCTCCATGTCGGAGCCCCCGTGTTCTCTGTCCGAAAGCTCTCTGATTCTGCCCTTTTGGCGTTGGTTATTTATATATGTCTTCATTTATTGTAAAGGCGAAATGATGGAGGAGGAGAGAACTAGCTTCCATCTGCTGGTTCACCCCTAAATGGCTGGGGCAGTTGAGCTGGGCCAGGCTCTGCAGCCAGCAACTCCCTCCCCGTCTCCCACATGGGCTGCAGAGCCCAGGCACTGAGGCCTGCCTCCCGGGTGCGTCAGCAGGGAGTGGATAGGGCCTGAACCAGCGCTCCCATGTGGGTGCCCGGGTCACAGGCGGTGACTTACCGCTGGCCCCGTTGAGGTTTTGTGGAGTCTTCTAGGTAAGCATGGCTGAAGCAGGGATAGCCATGCTGAGATGCAGCCGGACATGCGGGCGCGATCCATGCGAGTGGACCGGCCGGGGAAGCCGGCAAGGCGAGCTCCGCACAGAAACCCGGGGGGCATGACAGCTTCTGTCTGCCACCTTGGGAAGAGTTCGCCTGACCCACCGTGCGGGAGGACTTACAAGCTGGGAGCCGCGGGCAAAACCTAGAGTGGGCGTCGTGGTGCTGCACATGCTTTCCTGGGCTGACAACAGCAGCCCTGGGGCCTGCGGCCCCTGCCCTTTGACCCTAGGTGATGCAGCACCCACACGAGGGCGCCCTGGCCCTGGGCCTGCACAGCAACGTGAAGGACGTCTCCGTGCCCGTGGCGGAAATAAAGATCTACTCGCTGTCCAGCCAGCCCATCGACCACGAGGGGATCAAGTCCAAGCTGTCGGGTGAGACGGGCCTAGTGTGTGCAGAGTCCCTGGGCCGGGGGGCCCTTCCCCACCTCCATCCACCCGGGGAAGGCCGGGCGAGGCGCAGAGCCCCTGCAGCGCGCCGGCAGGGAGAGCCCTGGTGCAGCCCGTCAGGCGCCGCCCGGCGGGGCTCACCGAGCTGTCTCCCCCAGACCGCTCCCCGGACATCGACAACTACTCCGAGGAAGAGGAAGAGAGCTTCTCCTCCGAGCAGGAAGGCAGCGATGACCCCCTGCACGGGCAGGTGACTCCCGCAGCCCTCGCGTGGCGTCGGGGACGCTCCTGGGCTCCCCCGCCTCATCCCACCCCCTGCCCATCAGGACCTGTTCTACGAAGATGAGGACCTGCGGAAAGTGAAGAAGGCCCGGAGGAAGCTGACCTCGGCCTCGGCCATCACGCGGGTGAGCTGCCGAGGCTCGGGGGTGGCTCGCCCGCTGTCTTCAGCTCGGGTTAGGATGGGGCCCGCGTCTCCACACTCACCATCCACGCGTGGCCATCCCCGCCACACCCCGTGCGCCCCATTCCGAGTCACCCTGGTGGGGACCGGCTGTCACTGACAGGTGGTTGCAGGGTAGAGGAAAGGCGGGGAGCCCTCGTTTTAGAGTTGAGCAGGTGGCACGTCCCCAAGGAGAGAGCAGCGGCTCAGACACCTGTGTGCCTCAGGCGCCGCCCTGAATCCCGCTGTCCGTGACCGAGGAAGCCGGTCCGTCCGGGAGCGCCGCACGTCGTGGTCGCTTGTTGAACTCGCCCAGGAGTAACGAGCCAGCTCTCGGGAACTCGCTGGCCCTGGGCTCGATGGGGTCCGGCTGCCATCCGCAGAGCTCCTGCTTCTGCCTCGGTGGTCCCGAGCCTCGCGGACAGGTGCCTCTGGAGCACCCTCTGGCGTGAGGCTTCCGTGAGTCACTGGTTTAAGTTTTAGTTACTTATTTGAGAGGCAGAGAGAGAGAGAGAGGTCTTCCATCTGCTGGTTCACTCCCTAAATGGCCGACAGCTGGAGCTGGGCCAGCCAAAGCCAGGAGCTTCTTCCGGGTCTCCCACACGGGTGCAGGGGCCCAAGCACTTGGGATATCCTTCACCTGCTGTCCCAGGCCACAGCAGAGCTGGATCAGAAGAGGAGCAGCCGGGACTCAAACCGGCACCCGTGTGGGATGCTGACACCGTAGGCAGCAGCTTTACCCACTGCACCACGGGGCCGGCCCCAAGACCCGGATTCCTGAGTGAACCTTAACTGAGCCTGGCGTTCCTGTACTAATGTGTGGGGAGGCCGGATGTGCTGGAGCCCCTGAGAAGGGAGGTTCGCGGTCTGCTTCCTCCCAGCGCTGTGGGTGCAGGCGGAGCAGCCCGTCCCCTCGGGGTGAGGCGTGGGCCGACCTGCCCACGGTGCCCCACTGTGAAGCAAGCCGCTCTCTCGTCTCCCACCCCACGGTGTCGCTGGACTGCGGCGGAATCTCAAGACCAGGCCCTGATGGCGCCTCAATCAGCGAGCAGGGGCCGTGAGAGCTGTTGCCTCCTGCCCAGTGTCCACCCTCGATTGGCTCCAGAGAGCTCCGGCAAGGCCACAGGGCCTGCAGCTGCACCTCCCCCTCGTACCTGCACATGGACGGCAGCTGGAGCCCCCTCTTGCTGCCCGCTCTTCCCGCTGACGCTTTCCTTTTCCTGCCCTGTGACCACAGAGAAGCCCTGATTCCTTCCCGGGGTGCCCCTGGAGCTCCGCGAGCCCCCTCCCCTCCCGACAGGCAGCCCGCGCCCTGCGCCCTGCTAGCATCCGCTTCCCGGGGCTTTTTCATCCAGGCTGCAGGGACGCGGCAGCTGTGTTTTCACACTTCCGTGTCTGCCTCCTCCTAACACGCGTGTTTGTCCCTCACCCCCGGGAACACTTTGTTCCTGACACACTGCTCTCCTTGCTGTTCTCACGGTGCCGTGCCGTCTCGGTCACGGACCTCGAGCCTCTGCCCTGCCCGCGGGCCCTCGAAGGCCCGTCAGTGCGACTGGCAAGTTAGTTGTTCCATGCCCAGATGGCGAGTCCGCTATTCAGGGGAGAAGTGCTCATGGCCACAGGCTAAGCCTTGTGCCAGGAGGTGAGGCCGGTCCTTGCCTCAGGAGCCCAGTATCCGGTGACAGACACATCTCAGCACGTGGCTGCAGCAAAGGGCAGGGGTGGAGGGGCACGGGCAGAGCGTGTGCGGGAGGCAGACAGCAGGAAGGAGGAAGTGGCCTCCCGGGACCTGGACCACCAGGCCAGCTTCGTACAGGAGAGGCCGGGAGACAGGGACAGTGAGAGCTCTCATCAGCTGTTCCCTCCCCTAATGCCCACGCCAGCAGGAGCTGGACCTGTCTGAAGGCAGGAGCCAGGAACTCAGTCCAGATCTCCCATGTGGGTGACGGGGACCCAAGTACTTGAGCCATCGCCTGCTACCTCCCAAGGTCTGCGTTAACTGGAAGCAGGAGTCGGGGCAGAGCCAGCACCGGGGTCTCTGCGCTCTGAGAGGGGTGGGGCATTCCAAGCACCCGCCCTGGGGCTGGCACCGTGGTGCAGTGGGTTAAGCCACCGCCTGTGGCATCGGCATCCCATACGGGCGCCGGTTCAGGTTCCCTCTGCCCCACTTCCGGTCCAGCTTCCTGCTAATGTGCTGGGAAGCTCTGAGGTTAATCGACCGGTTCCTCGGTCCCTTTCCCCCCCCCCCCCCCCCCCCCCCCCCCGCGAATCTGCTGGAAGTCCAGGCTCCTGGCTTTGGCCTGGCCAGCCTTGACCGTCACAGCCATTTACTGAGTGAACCAAAGGTGGAAGATCTCTTTGTCATTCTGCCTTTCAAATAAATAAAATAGGGAAAAAATTTTAAATTTGCCCTGAGGGTTTTTTGTTCACTTGTTTTTTTTATGATTTAGTTGTGTATTTATTTATTTGAATAAATAAATATTTATTTGGCAGAGAGAAAGGGAGAAAGAGACAATGAAGAGATTGTCCATTCATTGGTTCACTCCCCAGGTGGCTGCAACAGCCAGGCCGAGCCAGGCCGAGCCAGGAGCCAGGAGCTCCGCCAGGTTTCCCACGTGGGCGACGGGGACGCACGTCCTTGAGCTGCCATCTGCTGCCTCCCAAGCTCATCGGCAGGGAGCTGAGTCAGGAGCTGGGCCTCAAACCAGACTCCCACGGGATGGGGCGTCCCACGTGGCTGTGCAGCCCACTACACTAGGGTGCCCACCCCCTTGCCCGAGGTTTTTAAAGATAGAACTTTGCCAGATAGATCTGGGCGGAATTTATCAAGACAGGAGATCCCAGAGAAAAAGGCCCGGTGTCAGAGTAGCGCCATTCAGGTTTTTCTATTTATTTGAAAAGCGGAGTGACTCCTGGTGGGGGGAGGGGCTGAGAGCGCTCTCATCACTGCTTGACTGCCCCGTGGCCGCAGCAGCCCCCATCCCCAGCAGCTGTCCCTGACTGATGCTCCTCCTTTAAAAAACTATTTTTTATTTATTTGAAAGGCAGAGTTACAGAGAGAGGAGGAGAGACAGACAGACAGATTTTCAGTTGGCTGTTTCCCTGCCCAAATGGCTGCAGTGGCCAGGGCTGGGCCAGGCCAAAGCCAGAAGCCAGGAGCTTCATCCTGGTCTCCCACATGAGTGCATGGGTCCAGGGACTGGGCCATCCTCCGCTTCTTTCCCAGGTGCATTAGCAGGGAGCTGGATGAGAATTGGAGCAGCCGGGTCTTGAACCGGCACCCATATGGGGTGGCGGCATCACAGGCAGAGACTCCACCTTCTGCGGCACAGTGCCAGCCCCTGGTGACAGGTTCTGGGTGCTGGAGGGGAGAGCTCCCAGTGTCCTCTCTCCTTACGAGAGTGGACTCAGGGTCTGTGTTGGCCGACTCGGGCTGCCCGCTAGTCGACGCTGCTTGAGAACCGCTGTGCCGTTTGTCCCGTAGCAACCCAACATCAAGCAGAAGTTCGTGGCCCTCCTGAAGCGGTTTAAAGTTTCTGATGAGGTACGGCCCCTTGCCCCCGAGACTGAGGGTGAGTAGAAGTCCCTGGGTTCTGTTCCCGTCCCTGTGTTGCCCTGGGAGGCGGGATCCCCGCAGCACAGTTGCCTGCCCCGCTGTGCGTCCTTAGGAGGCTGTGTGCTGTCCAGAATGATGGAGCTGGCCGTGGTCTCCTTTCCTGGTGTCCACTCCTGGGAGAGGCCCCGGGGAGAGGGTGGCTGAGGAAGGGCGTGGGCTCCTGGGCGGGCAGACGGCTGGGCTGTGTGCACGGTGCTCAGGAGTTTGCAGTACTGGGCGGGGGGGTCGCACAGGTATTGACACCAGACGCGGGGGCGGGACGCCAGTCACAACGCAGGTGTGGTGCGGTTTGCTTCTCTGGATCCCAGGGGGCGTCCGTGGTGCAGTCGCCAGGGACCGGCGCTGATGGGACAGCACTGTCTGGGGCTCCCGGAGGCTGGCAGCTTACTCAGGCCCTCAGCGGCTGAGGAGGGGAGAAGGTGGAGTTGCTGGGAGAGGCTTTGTCTCCGTGGCGCTGGCCCTGGCCTCTCCTGGACCTGTCTCGGGGAGGCCCGGGGGCATTGGGCTTTTTACCCAGCAGGTGCCTCTGTGGAGCTGAAAGGAGTGGGGGCTGCCAGGGCCAGCTGCAGGGAGCACGAGGAGGCCACACCCCTCCCGGGTGACGCCAGGACTCAGCCTCTAGGGGCGTTTCACGGGGCCCAGCTGGCGTCTGCCCAGGAGAAAGGACTCTGGTCTGCTGCTGCGGCTAGCAGGAAGAACTCCAAATCCGGAGACCCTTCCCTCTGCAGGTGGGCTTTGGGCTGGAGCACGTGTCCAGGGAGCAGATCCGAGAGGTGGAGGAGGACTTGGACGAGCTCTACGACAGCCTGGAGATGTACAACCCCAGCGACAGCGGCCCAGAGATGGAGGAGACCGAGAGCATCCTCAGCACCCCGAAGCCCAAGCTCAAGTGAGCCGGCCTCCCCCGTCAGACTGCCTCCCCGACCTTCCTCCCCGAGCTCAAGTGAGCCGGCCTCCCCCGTCAGACTGCCTCCCCGACCTTCCTCCCCAAGCTCAAGTGAGCCGGCCTCCCCCGTCAGACTGCCTCCCCGACCTTCCTCCCCAAGCTCAAGTGAGCCGGCCTCCCCCGTCAGACTGCCTCCCCGACCTTCCTCCCCAGGCTCAAGTGAGCCGTCCTCCCCCGTCAGACTGCCTCCCCGACCTTCCTCCCCAAGCTCAAGTGAGCCGGCCTCCCCCGTCAGACTGCCTCCCCGACCTTCCTCCCCAAGCTCAAGTGAGCCGGCCTCCCCCGTCAGACTGCCTCCCCCACTCCTCCCCAAGCTCAGGTGAGCCAGCCTCCCCCGTCAGACTGCCTCCCCGACCTTCCTCCCCAAGCTCAAGTGAGCCGGCCTCCCCCGTCAGACTGCCTCCCCGACCTTCCTCCCCAAGCTCAAGTGAGCCGGCCTCCCCTGTCAGACTGTCTCCCCACCCTTGCCTCCAAGTCAAGTGAGGCCGGCCTCCCCCATCAGACTGTCTCCCTGACCTTCCTCCCCGAGCTCAAGTGAGCCGGCCTCCCCTGTCAGACTGCCTCCCCACCCTTGCCTCCAAGTCAAGTGAGGCCGGCCTCCCCCATCAGACTGCCTCCCTGACCTTCCTCCCTGAGCTCAAGTGAGCTGACCTCCCCTGTCAGACTGCCTCCCCACCCTTGCCTCCAAGTCAAGTGAGGCCGGCCTCCCCCATCAGACTGCCTCCCTGACCTTCCTCCCTGAGCTCAAGTGAGCTGACCTCCCCTGTCAGACTGCCTCCCCCCACTCCTCCCCAAGCTCAAGTGAGCCGGCCTCCCCATCAGACTGCCTCCCCCACTCCTCCCCAGGCCGTTCCTCGTACAACTCTGTTGCCAGAGGGTCTTGGTCCTCCCTTTCGGGACCCCAGCCCCTGGGTGAAGGTCACTGTTGACCCTGAGTCCCCCTGCCTGGCCCCAGCTGAGGGCAGTCGGGGATGGGGCCCTCACCTGCCCGCTGTACCCCGTAGCTCCAGGCATGCACTCCCGCTCGGCCCCTGCTCGGCACCCCCCGGCCCCTGCTCGGCTCCCCCTGGCCCCCCCCTCGGCCCCTGCTCGGCACCCCCTCAGCCCCTCCCCCCCGGCCCCTGCTCAGCACCCCCCGGCCCCTGCTCAGTGCCCCTCGGCTAGCCCCTGCCCCCCGGCACCCCCTAGGCCCCTGCTCGGCACCCCCTCAGCCCCCCTGGCCCCTGCTCGGTCCCCACCGGCCCCTGCTCAGTGCCCCCTCGGTACCCCCCCGGCCCCCCCTGGCACCCCCTCGGCCCCTGCTCGGCCCCCTTCTTGGTCCCCCCCGGCACCCCCTAGGCCCCTGCTCGGCCCCCCCTCAGCCCCCCCCCGGCCCCTGCTCTGCACCCCCCCGGCCCCTGCTCAGTGCCCCCTCGGTACCCCCTTGTCCCCTGCTCGGTTCCCCCCGGCCGCCCCCTCGGCCCCTGCTCGGCCCCCCCTCAGCCCCCCCGGCCCCTGCTCGGCCCCCCCTCAGCCCCCCCGGCCCCTGCTCGGCCCCCCCCGGCCCCTGCTCAGTGCCCCTCGCAGGCGTGCGGAGGCCCGGCTGTCCGTGTCTGGAGCCCGGCCGCCCCCTCGGCCCCTGCTCGGCCCCCCCCGGCCCCTGCTCGGCCCCCCCTCAGCCCCCCCCCGGCCCCTGCTCGGCCCCCCCCGGCCCCTGCTCAGTGCCCCTCGCAGGCGTGCGGAGGCCCGGCTGTCCGTGTCTGGAGCCCGGCCCCGCCTGGCCACCTGATGCGGAGGCGAGGGGGGGCGACTGACCGGCCGCTTCCTGCCGCAGGCCTTCTTTAGGGGATTCGCAGCCCACCTCCGAAGAGGGAGAATGGAGCCTCAAAAGCAAAAAAGCCTGGGAAGGAAAAACCAGCCCTGGGAGAAGCCGGGGCTCCCGGGGGGGCAGGGCGGCTGGGGGGGCGGTGCTGGGCCTCCCTTCTTTTGGCCTGGGCCCCCTGGGGGGGGCCCCCGCCACCCGTTTAAAGGGGGGGTCGCCAGGGGGGAGGAGACTTCTTCGGGTTGGGCAGGACAGGTAAAAGGGGAGGGAAACCCCTGGGGGCTGTCCAGAGAACGGAAAAGGGGTTTAGCGGGGAGAAACCCTGGAAGGGGTCAGGGCAAGGCCGGTTTTCCTTTCCCGGGGAGCAAAAGGGGAGAGTTGCCTGCCGAGACCTAGGCCCCCCCCCGGGGGCGGGCGGTGCTTCCCTCCAAGGAAGGGGACGTTGGGGGGGTTTCTTGTGAAAGCAAAGTGTGTTTCTGTGGATGAAAAGCCAGATCCTTGAAGTTCTGCTGTGCCTGTCTGCTTCAGCGCAAGATGAGGCCGCGTCGTCGTTTGCTCAGCAGAGGAGTAGAGACCTGCCCTGCAAGTAGGTGTCGCGGGAGCAGGTGCTGTCCTAAGTGTGCGCCACCCTAAGAACTGGTGGGGGCCGGGGGTCAGCAGTCCTGCCTGCCGCCACCAGGTGGCGCCGTCTCCCAGCCGCTCGCTTCCCGGTGCTGCAGCGCAGGCCCAGGCCCACAGCGTGCAGACCTGCAGCCGGGGTCGCGGTGACCAGGAGCTGCGGCTTCTCGGACTTCAGTGTTCGCGTTTAGGAGGTCGCCTGCAGCTGGCCTGCAGGGGTGCTGCTGAACCATCCCTGTAGGCAGGGCCCATCTTGACTTCTAAGGGACAAGCGCGTCTGGAAAGCAGCGGGGAGGGGGGGGTGCTGCGGGGGGGCCGCCAGGGCTCTGGAGCGAGTGCCGGGTCCAGAGGACGGTCAGCGCGACAGCTGGCTCGCTGTGAACGCCGGGGAGGCTTGGGAAGCCTGCAGCCTGGGGGGCGGGGCCGGCGCCCTGGGTGGGCATCCGGGCCCCAGTGGCCTCAGGGAGACCCCCAGGTGGACTCTCGTCTTCCTGCCAGGGAGACCTGGGGCGAGCAGAGGCAGGGGGTAGAGCGCGCATGTGTGTCTCGGTTTTCCATGCCGGGTTCTTGCCCCCCAGAGCTAAGAACGCGCAGCAGAGGCACAAGTGCAGTGCACACGCGAGGGCAGGAGAGTGACTGCATTCACGCGTGCGTGTGGGCAGCCCACACAGAGGGACGCCTGTTCCCAGTGGGCCGGAGGGCTGCCTGTGAGGGGGCGGGGGGCCAGGAAGCCGAGCAGAAGGGCCATTCCCACGTGGAACCGTCCCCTGTGCAGGGTGGGGTCGCTGCCCTAAGGGGTGCGCAGACGGGGTGGGGTCTGGGGCTTTCCTGGTGCGTGTGTGCCATGACGGCGTCTGGTGCATCATGGGAAAGTGAGCGTGCTGGATTGACAGGGAAGGGGTGGAGTTACAGTGCAGAGCTGCCGGAAGTTGTGGGGGGTCTGCCAGCTCGCTTGTTGCGCTCTGATCTCCCTGCCCCCCCCCCCCCATCACTCCCTCGCGAGGCAGGGCTGGGTTCTGTCAGAGCAGGGGTGGTGCTCAGGACAGGGCCTCATGGCAGTGCACGTGGCGGGCTGCAGGAAAGTATGGTGCCGTCTGGTGCGTGACGGAAGCGGGCTTAGCTGTGTGCTGAGGAGAGGGTGTGCCAGGCCTTGGGCCGTGTTCGGGCTGCACAGAAGGTGGAGGCTGGGCCGTGTGCATGGCTTGGGTGGTGGCCGTGCTCAGCTCCGCGCCCCTCACCCCTGCCTGCCATCCCGTGTCCGTCTCTGCTTCTCACCCAGCTCCTGCTGCTGCCTGGGCCGCGGCGGGTGGAGGCCCCGGCACTCGGGTTCTGCCGCCCCCACGGGAGACGGGTGGAGTTTCAGGCTCCTGACTTCAGCCTGGCTCAGCCCCCAGCCCTTACAGGCGTTTGGGGAGTAAATCAGCAGATGGAAGCTCTGTGTGCGTGCGTGTGTGTGTGTGTGTGTGTATTTCTTTCAAAGTAAAAAGAAAATGAATTTAAAAATTGAGGGGCCGTTGCTGTGGTGTAGTGGGCTAAGCGTGCGCCTGCAGCTTCGGCATCCCATATGGGCACTGGTTGGTGTCCTGGCTGCTCCTCTTCCGATCCAGCTCTCTGCTGTGGCCTGGGAAGGCAGTGGAGGATGGCCCGAGTGCTCGGACCCTGCACCCGCGTGGGAGACCTGGAGAAGGCTGCTGGCTCCCAGCCCAGCTCTGGCTGCAGCAGCCATCTGGGGAGTGAGCCAGTGGGTGGAAGACCTCTCCCTCCGTCTCTCCCTTTCTCTCTCTCTAACGCTGCCTTTCCAATAAATAAAAAGAAATCTTTTTAAAAAGGCAGATTTAGAGAGAAAGCACCCAGACGCTGAGTCTCGTGTGCTTTATTTGCAAAGTAAAGGTGTTGGCGCAGGAGCCCAACTAACTCCAAAAGTCAGTCTTTACAGGGCGATGGCCTGAGAACCCCCGTGGGGGCAAGAAACCACCGAGGGCAAGGCGGGGTGTCTGAGTTTGAATCTCTTCATATTTTTGTAAAATACCGACTTGACTTATTTGAAAGGCAGAGGCTCGGAGCAGAGATCTTCCATCTGTTGGTTTCTCCCCAAGCGGCCACAACAGCCAAAGCCAGGAGTCAGGGACTCCATCCCGGGCCCCAGTGTGGCTGCAGGGGTCCAAGGACTCGGCCACCTTCCTCTGCTTTCCCGGGCCACAGCAGCACACAGCAGGGAGCTGGATCGAAAGTGGAGCAGCCTTCTCTCTCTGTCTCTCTCTCTCACTGTCCTGTCGAAGAGAGAGACAAAAGAAAGTGGGAGCAGCGAGCCGGCGCGCGGCTCACTAGGCTAATCCTTCCGCCTAGCGGCGCCGGCACACCGGGTTCTAGTCCCGGTCGGGGCGCCGGATTCTGTCCCGGTTGCCCCTCTTCCAGGCCAGCCCTCTGCTGTGGCCAGGGAGTGCAGTGGAGGATGGCCCAGGTGCTTGGGCCCTGCACCCCATGGGAGACCAGGAAAAGCACCTGGCTCCTGGCTCCTGCCATCGGATCAGCGCGGTGCGCCGGCCGCAGCACGCTGGCCGCGGCGGCCATTGGAGGGTGAACCAACGGCAAAGGAAGACCTTTCTCTCTGTCTCTCTCTCTCACTGTCCACTCTGCCTGTAAAAAAAAAAAAAAAAGAAAAAGAAAGTGGAGCAGCCGAGAGGCTCAGACTTGGTACCCAGCACTGCAGGCGGTGGCGTAACTCCCAGCGCCGCGCCCGAGTGTGGACCCTGCCTCTGCCTCTCCCCGACCGGGAGCTCGCCAGGCCTGCATTTTCCTCATCTGCCGAGCGCAGCCAGGTGCCACCCAACGCCACCCCCGGCCCCGGCAGGCCTCGCAAGCACACGGGGCTTCAGGGGGTTCCTGGAGAGCATGGTGAAGCGATGACTGTTTGGGTTCGGACATGTTGAAATCGTGTATACGAGGGGCCTCCAGCACCGGGGACACACAGCGAGGACGCGGCCGGGCCTCCAGCACCGGGGACACGCAGCGAGGACGCGGCCGGGCCTCCAGCACCGGGGACACGCAGCGAGGACGCGGCCGGGCCTCCAGCACCGGGGACACGCAGCGAGGACGTGGCCGGGCCTCCAGCACCGGGGACACGCAGCGAGGACGCGGCCGGGCCTCCAGCACCGTGGCGCCTGCGTGCCGAAGCTGGGTGCTGGGAGCCTGCGTGTTCTGAGAGCTGTCTCAGTTCTGGACTCCGAAAACTGATGGAATCTAGATTTTTTTTTTTTTTTTCAGATTCTGACTTTCAGAATCTGATTCCCTTGGCCGGATTTCAGACTCGTGTTGCTGCTTGTGTGCTGGCATTTCTATTTTGAAGAGCCCATATGTCTTGATGTGGGTGTGAAACTTTGAATCCTTGGGTACAAGAGGCGCCGCGGGAACAGAGCAAGGCTGTGCCCTCAGAGGAAGGACTTCCGCAGGCAGGGCCCTGCCGCCCAGCGTGGGGCCTCGTCCCGACACCCTCGCGGTGTCACTCAGTTTCCCTGAATCTTCCTGTCTGTCCCCCAGATGTGCAGAGGGTTCAGTGTGTCGCTAGGAGCAGGAAGAATTTCAGCCGATACGAACGGCTGCCACGGTTGCATTGTGCCGAGACCCAGGCACAGAGCGGCGCCGCTGGCTGGTCCTCCGAGCTGCTCACCGTAGGCCTGACGGGGCTCCAGTGTCGCTGGCTGGGCCTGCCGCGGCTTGGAGCTGCTTTTCCACCGCACTGTCCCCGGTGTGAGGGAGGCCAGCTTCATAGCAGCTGGAGCCTGCAGATAGCGCCGCTGGCCCCCGTGCGTGAGCCTGCTGGGCAGAGGTCCCCGGAGCCCGGCCAGGGTTCCGGGCTGGAGGTGGAGGGCCCCAGCACTGCTGAAAGCAGGACAGAAGCGTGGGAGAGTGGGCCTCGGCGCCCTGGGGATCGTCTGGGTCACTGCGGGGCTCAGTCAGTGGCCAGCAGTGCCCTCCAGTTCAAGGCAAAGATGAGGGTTTTTTCAAATTTATGTATTTATTTGTTTATTAGTTTGTTTAAAGATTTATTTAGGCCAGCGCCATGGCTCACTAGGCTAATCCTCCACCTGCGGTGCCGGCACACCGGGTTCTAGTCCCGGTCGGGGCACCGGATCCTGTCCCGGTTGCTTCTCTTCCAGGCCAGCTCTCTGCTGTGGCCCGGGAGTGCAGTGGAGGAAGGCCCAAGTGCTTGGGCCCTGCACCCCATGGGAGACCAGGAGGAAGCACCAGGCTCCTGGCTTCAGATCGGCGTGATGCGCCGGCCAGAGCGGCCATTGTGGGGTGAACCAATGGCAGAGGAAGACCTTTCTCTCTGTCTCTCTCTCACTGTCCACTCTGCCTGTTGAAAAATAAATAAATAAAGATTTATTTATCGAAAGGCAGAGTTAGGGAAAGAGAGCGCTCTTCCATCCGCTGATTTACTCCCCAGGTGGCCACGACGGCTGGGGCTCGGCCAGGCTGAGGCCAGGAGCCAGGAGCTTCATCCCAGCCTCCCACGTGGGTGCAGGGGCCAAGCACTTGGGTCATCCTCCACTGCTTCCCAGGTGCATCAGCAGGGAGCTGGGCTGGAAGTGGAGCAGCCAGGACTCAAACCAGTGCCCATACTGTATGCCAGCATTGCAGGTGTTGCCTTAACCCATTATGCCACAATGCCGGCCCCAGATTTGTATATTTATTTTAACTCACAGATAAAATTGTGTATTTGTCATGTACAACTGATGTTTTGAAGTCAAAGATATCAAGAGAGAGATATATTAATTACCTTAATCATTTCATAATGTATACATGTATCAAAATACCATATTACACATTGTAGGTATATACAACTTTTTAAATATTTATTTCAAAGGCACAGCAAAAGAGAATGACTCTTCCATCCACTGGTTCACTTTTTTTTTAAGATTTATTTATTTATCTGAAAGAGTTACACAGGGAGAGAAGGAAAGGCAGAGAGAGAGAGAGAGGTCTTCCATCCGCTGGTTCACTCCCCATTTGGTTGCAACGGCTGGAGCTGTGCTGATCAGGAGCCAGGAGCTTCTTCCAGGTCTCCCATGCAGGTGCAGGGACCCAAGCACTTGGGCCATGTTCCTCTGCTTTCCCAGGCCACAGCAGAGAGCTGGATCGGAAGTGGAGCAGCCGGGACCTGAACCAACACCCATATGGGATGCTGGCACTGCTGGCAGCAGCTTAATCGGCTGCGCCACAGCGCCGGCCCCTGGTTCACTCTTGCAATGGCTGCAACAACCAGGGCTGCACCGGCTGACCAGGGGTTGCAAACTCCCTCTGGGCTTCCCTGTGGGTGATAGGAACTCAGGTACTTGGAGTGGTCATCTGTGTTTTCCCAGGTGCCTCAGCGGGAAGTCGGGAAGGTGGGAAGCAGAGCACCTGCATCCTGAGCTCAATGCGGGATGCTGTTTGCAGAGTGGCCCGAACCCGCTGTGCCACAACGCTGGCCCTTGCAGTTTGTGTTTGCCAGTTGTACCTTGTAACCAGGGCGGGGAAGGGTTCCAGCGAACATCCTGACCTTGCTGTAGCAGCAGTGCCGCGGCCATCCTGGGGCCCGACCGCAGGCTCCTGGACACCTCCCGGCACCACAGAGATTGCACCTGCTCGTTTTCTGCAAAATGTGCTGCGTCCATTTGTCACGCTGAGATCCAAAATGAGTGAAGCCGCCGCGGCTCCTCCAGGAGTCTAGACTCTGTGAACATCGGCTAATCGTGTAGACAGTGTGTAAATGAGCTAGCTGGGCGCCCTGGGCCGACTCCAGACGTGGGGTTGCGGGTGTGGCCAGGTGTGTCGGCAGATGGCTCTGAGCGGTGTTTTCAGCTGGGGTTGGTTTTGCCTCCCAGGGTACATCTGGCAGCGAGTCCAGGTGTGTTAGGTCGTCCCGAATTCTAGGGGTGTGGGGGCGGGGCTGCCATCACTGCTGGTGTGTGGTGGGAGACGCGGGGTCACCACTGAACACCCTGCAGTGCACAGGACTGCCCAACAGCCGAGAATGAGCCATCCCAGACGTCAGCAGGGAGCCTGCTCATGGGGTCTCCGTTTGCCTGTGTCACCCTGAACCTGGTCGCCTGTCGGCCTTCAGTGTAGAAAGTCTTTGAGTTTGGGCTGAAGTGGTGGGACTTCCTGCTTACCTTTTTATTCCCTTGGTTTCCTACGAGGAACAGAGACTCACTAAGGCCAGTGCTTCCCTGCGTCCAAGGCCCAGCCCTCAGCTGCCTGTGACTGGTTTTGGGGTCTGCACAGCCAGAAGCGATCTTAGCAAATTAGGAAAATCTAGCAGTGGACCTGTGGTACAAAGTAGATTTTTAAATATTTATGAGATGCTAATAGTTAGGAACAAATGGAGACTTAATTTTTTAAAGATTTTATTTATTCATTTGAGATGTAGAGTCACAGACAGATGGAGAAACAGCGAGAAAGGTCTTCCATCTACTGGTTCACTCCTCCAAATGGCCACAGCACCCGGAGCTGAGCTGATCAGCAGCCAGGAGCCCCTTCCAGGTTTCCCACGCGGGTACAGGGGCCCAAGCACTTGGGCCATCGTCCACTGCTTTCCCAGGCCACAGCAGAGGGCTGGATCGGAAGAGGAGCAGCCGGGACACAAACTTGTGCCCATTTGGGATGCCGGTGCTGCAGGTTGGGGCTTAGCCACGGCGCGGGCCCGGAGACTTCATTTCACACTGAGGGGCGGGTGTGAGGCACAGCGGGTTAAGCTGCCCCTTGGGGCACCTGCTCCCCTACTGGGTGCTGGTTTGAGTCCTGGCCACGTTGCTTCTCATCCACCTCTTTGCTAATGTGTCCTGGCGACACCAGATGATGGCGCAAGTGCTTAGGCCTCTGCCAGCCACCTTGGGAGACCAAGGTGGGCTCCGGGCTCCTGGCGTTGGCCTGGCCCAGCCCCAGCTGTTGTAGGCATCTGGGAGTGAACCAGCAGACGCAAAACTCTCTCACTCACTCTCTCACTCTCTCTCTCTCTCTGTCTCTCTCTCTCTCTCTGAGTGTGTGTATGTGTGTGTGTGTTGCTCTGCCGTTCAAGTAGATGAAACACTGGGTTTAACACGAGGGGCCTTTTCCCTCCTACTCTGGTGACAAATGCACTAGGCCACATGGACGTCTTCAGTCTCAGAAGTCAGACCCGAGCTGTGAGGTCCTTTCTGTCCCACGGGCCTCCGGCCAGGGGCAGCTGCCCCCCAGGGTGGGGGCGGGCGCGGACGTGGTGGGCCCAGCAGCAGAGCTCTCTCGGCCTCAGGCTTCCTGTGGGAGCCAGGATTTCTGGGTTCCTGTCTCACTGTGTTACTGACCTGGTTATTACAAAAATAGCTGGCTCCTGCGAGCTTAGTTATGGTTTGTAAGAATACGGCCCTCCGGGGACGGAGGCCCTGGGGACGTCACGCGGGGAGGGTGGAGTGGCCGGGGAGCAGCCAGAGCGGTGGCCGCGTGCAGCAGCGCCAACTCATCGTTCTCGTTTTTGCAGATGGCCGCGTGCAGCAGCGCCAACTCATCGTTCTCGTTTTTGCAGATGGAGTTGGCTGCTCTAGAAAAAGTCAAATCTACTTGGATTAAAAACCAAGATGACAGCTTGACTGAGACAGACACTCTGGTACGTACGTTCCAGCTCCTGCTTCTGCTGTTTCAGAGAGCGTTTGTGCCTTTATAAATACAGTTCAGAAAAGGCCCTCAGGACCGGCCTGGGAACTTCCCCAAGTCTTCAGGCTCGTGAGTGTCCGCGTTCCTCCTCCTAAAACCCTCACTCGTGGGAGGTAGCCCACCCTGGAGCCAGGCTTCTCCCAGACTGATGAGCCAGAAATGTCCCCTTCTCTCTAACGAGAGCTGATCAGGAGCTGGCTTGGGAATTGTCCCACTTCCTGTCACTGTCACTCACCTCCAAAAGCCCTGCGTTCGCCCTTGGGTGTGGCCCAGTCGGCGGCCCAGTGCCACAGCTCCCCTGCCAGCTTCCCACTGACCTGCACACGGGGGCGTGGCTCTGTGGGGGCCAGGGCGGTGCAGGGGATGCAGGCTGGGAGGGGACGCCTGAGCTGGCTCCCTGTGGTCCGGGAAGTCTGTCCAGTGGGACTGGCTGCTGGACGCAGGTGCTGGTGGGAGGGAAAGAGCCCTGCGCGGGATCCCACCTCGGGGTGGCTGAGCGTGGGCCTCGTAAGACCTCACGGTTGAATGGAGTCTGTAGTTATTTTTGCCTTATGTTTCCTTCAGTAAATAATGCTACGTTACGGTGTTGTATGTAACTTAACATTGGGCTTGACTCCAGTCCGGTTAAAGCTTGCCGTGCTAACTTGAGCTCACAGCTCACCAGTCACCTGGATGGCTCGGCCGTCACTGCTGCTCCACTGGTCCACGCTGCATGTGACAGCGTCCGTGCTCAAACGCCAGTCGGGTCCTTCCCTGGTAAAAGCCCTCAGATGCTTGACCAAGTCTCAGGGACTTAATGTTGTGCAGAGAAGCCCCCCCCCCAAAAAAAAAAAGCCATCAGACTGTTGTGAAATTCACAGACAGGAGAGCTCAGCCACGAAGGCGACCTCAGGATGCTTGCTGCCTGTGAGCGGGGAGGGCCGCGGGACCCCTCGGGGTGCCGGCGCGTCTGGTGGTCGGTGGCCTCAGAGCGCATGCTCACCTTGAAGACTCAAGTTCAGATCTTACATTTGTGCACCAACTCTGGAGACTAGTCCCCAGTACACAACTCAGAATGGCAGATACAGGGACACAAGCGGGCACACAGCACGTGTGGGGAGCAGCGTCTTTCGGGGGGCGAGAGCGGGAGAGAGCTGCCGGCCCCCGGGGAGCACTCACGGGGAATTAACTTAGGAGGGCAGGGCTGGGTCCCGGAGGGCGCGGCCCCGTGCGTCAGGAAGACAGCCGTGGTCTGCGCAGGGAGGATGGTGAGAACGCGGCCATGAGGCTCCTACAATTTTGGAAGGGATCTGAGGGGCTGCAGCCGGCGACACCAGCCGCCCGTGTGAGTGCTGGTCCGTGTCCCGTCTGCTCTGCTTCCAGTCCAGCTCCCTGCTAATGTGCCTGGGAAAGCAGTGGGCACCGGCCGCTCAGGTGGGGGACCCGGAAGAAGCTCTGGCTCCTGGCTCCTGGCTTCGCCTGGCCCAGCCCTGGCCATTGCAGCCATTTGGGGGGTGAACCGGCACATGGAAGGGATATCTATCTCCATCTCTCACTCGCTCGCTCACTCTCGCTCTCTCTGCCTTCCAAATAAATAAATAGATCTTATAGCAAGTTATCTGAGAAAAAGGCAGCAAAGCCTGGACTGGAAAGGTGGGAGAAGGGGTGGATGGGGGAGAGTGTGGAGGATGGGTGGCGCTGGCATCTCGGTGAGGGAGAAGACCACGGTGGGTGCAGGGCCAGGGTGAGGAGTGCGCGGCAGTGCTCGTGGGCTCCCCAGGCCTCAGGGCCAGCCCTGGGGGGTCCGTCCAGGCCCGTCAGAGGGCCAGGGAGGGCGTGGGGTGCCCTGCCCTCTGCAGCTCGCTGAGCAGTGGACTGCGGCGATGGTGCCCAGCCAGCAGGTGCGCTGGGTGAAGTTCAGCAGCAGCCGGCTCCCCGTGGGGAGGGAGGAGCCGTGGGATTGTGGGCAGGAGCGAACAGCTGCCCTGGCCATGGTGATGGGGCCTGCCGGTGACCCCTGCCTCCCCCTGGCAGGAGATCACTGACCAGGACATGTTCGGAGACGTGAGCACGAGTCTGGTGGTGCCAGAGAAAGTCAAAACGCCCCTGAAGTCCAGCAAGACGGACCTGCAGGGCTCCGCCTCCCCCAGGTACCCGCCCCCCCCCAACAGGGAGCTGAGGGCCCTCGCGCAGGCCCCCGCCGTGTAAAACACCTCCTCCCCCGCCCCCCCCCCCCCCCCCGGAAAAAAAGGAAAAGGGGGCCCCCCCGGAAGGCGCGCACACGCCCCGGCAGAAGAGGAGCACGCCCCTGAAGGAGCGACAGCTCTCCAAGCCCCTGAGCGAGAGGACCAACAGCTCCGACAGCGAGCGCTCGCCGGACCTGGGCCACAGCACGCAGGTACTTCCCTCTCCCCCTTTGAAATGCTCTCAGTGAAAGTCTTGAAAGGCCCAAACGGGAGAAGTACAGGAACCGGGGGCAGGAGAGAGCGCAGGAGCCCATGTACCTCCCCCCCCTTCCACCCCTACACGCCCGGCCTGAACCCCTGAGCCGCAGCCTTCAGTGCTGCGGGGGCTCGGCCGGGGGGGAGGGGGGGCGCGAGCCAGCCGTGAGCGGTGTTGGAGCGTCGTGAAGGGAAGGCGTGAGAGTGGGCTGGGGAGGAGGTGGGGAGGACTGTGTTCTCTGCTCCTGGCGGCTGGGGTGGCGGGCTGTGGGCACATTTCGCAGGAGGCAGCGGGTCTGTGCGATTCCCTGGCAGACACCGGTGAGGGGGAGTGTGTGTCAGTGTGGCTTCCGGAGTCTGACGCTGGGGCAGAGCTGAAAATGCGCCCGAGACCAGAATAGTCCAGGGCCCGGGGCGCGGCCTTGTCCTCGGTGTTCATCACTGCTCCTGAAATACCCTCGCTCCCTTGGACTGCGGCCCCCGCGCAGCGCTGGCTGCCACTCATCACGTCTCCCCACACCCTCGCTGCCACTCTCCTGGGCGCCTGCTGCTCTCGTCCTCTCCTGCCGGCCTGGTGCCGATGCCCCTCGTGGGATGCCCCCCGCGGGCCAGCTGCCATGACTGCACGCCCGCAGAATCCGTGCGTTCTCTCGGCCCCCTCCTCTCCCCTCAGGCCGAGTCTCCCCCTCAGCTTCCCGGTACCTGCCTGCTCTGACCGCGCCCCCAGCTGCTGCCTAACACGTGGTGTCCCTGCAGGTCCCGAGGAAGGTGGTGTATGACCAGCTGAACCAGATCCTGGTGTCCGACGCAGCGCTGCCGGAGAACGTCATCCTGGTGAACACCACCGACTGGCAGGGCCAGGTGAGCGGGCAGCCTGCGGGGGCGGGGCTTGCCGCCGTGGTGGTGGTGGGGAGCAGGGGTGGGCCCTGAGCGCTCGTCCTGCCTCCCTCCTGCCCAGCCTGGGGCCGCAGGTGAGAGCTTTCTGTGCCTCAGTGTCCTTATCCCTCCCAAGGCAGGAGGAGCCCCTGTCTGACCGTTGCCTGTGCCCACACGGAATTCAGAGCAGGGGCGCTCAGAGGGGCGCCAAGTGCTGGGCCCCCAGGGGTGCGCCGGTTTCCATGGAGCTCATCCTGCCCGTTCCGCCCTGTGTCCTGGGCCAGACGCCAGTGCCGGGAGCACCCGGAGTGCGGGCTCTGGAGCCTTCCCGTCCGCCCCGCCTCCGCCCTTGGCCCAGCTGCGGTCTGAGTGACGAGGATGGGGCTCTGCGGCTCAGGCTAGGCCTTGCCTGCCCTCGTGGTGCCTGGAGGGGGGCAGCGTGGCCTCACCTGCGTCCCTGCCCCTGCCCCCCCCCCAGTACGTGGCCGAGCTGCTGCAGGATCAGCGGAAGCCTGTCGTGTGCACCTGCTCCACCGTGGAGGTCCAGGCCGTGCTGTCCGCCCTGCTCACCCGCATCCAGCGCTAGTAAGGGCCCCAGCTCCCCTCTCCTGCCCCTCGGGGTCCCTCTGACTTCCAAGCAGTGTGAGGATCCACGGGCCGTAGTGCTCAGTGGCCCTGGTGGCCCGGAGCCAGTCGAGTCAGTGTCCACCCCAGGACACTGGAGGGGCAGAGTCCCCTGCTGTGTGACGGACGCCCACCACCAACCCTGCACACCCAGCTCTTCTCATAGGCACTGACTTGCCCCTCCCCTTTTTAGGGTCGATTTACTTACTTGAAAGAGTGACTGAGGGAGACAGGAAGAGCCTCCATCCTCGGGTTTACTCTCCAAACGGCCGCAGCAGCCCCGGCTGGGCCAGACTGAAGCCAGGAGTCAGAACTCTACCTGGGTTTCCCACGTGGGTGGCAGGAATGCAAATACTTTCTTAAAAAATTATTTATTTGAAAGGCAGAGTTAGAGAAAGAAAGAGAGGGAGGGAGACACGGAGAGAGATCTTTGATCCTCTGGTTCCCTCCCCAAGTGGCCGCAACTGCCAGAGCTTCCTCTGGGTCTTCCACGTGAGAACAGGGACCCAAGCACTGGGCCATCTTCCGCTGCTTTCCCAGGCGCATTTAGCAGGAGCTGGATCGGAAGTGGAGCAGCCGGGACTCGAAACAGCCCCTTATAGGATGACGGTGCTGAGGGCAGGGCATTAACCCACTGAGCCACAGAGATGGCACCACGCTGCTCCACTTCTGATCCACCTGGGAAAGCAGCGGAGGACGGCCCAGGTCCTTGAGCCCCTGTACCCGCGTGGGAGACCCAGAGGAAGCTCCTGGCTCCTGGCTTTGGATCAGCTCAGCTCTGGCCATTAGGGCTGTTTGGGGAGTGAACCAGAAGATGGAAGACCTTTCTCTCTCTGTCTCTACCTCTTTATCTAACTCTTTCAAATAAATAAAATAAATCTTAAAAAAAAAAAAAAAAAAAGTGGAGCAGCTGGGACTTGAACCAGTGCCCATGTGAGATGCTGGCGCTGCAGGTGGCGGCTCCACTTGCTGTGCCATGGTGCCAGCCCCAAGTAGTGCAAATACTTGAGTCATCATTGGCCGCCTCCCAGGCACACTTGTAGGGAGCTGGATCGGAAACAGAGTAGCGGAATGTGAACCAGCACCCCAGTATGGGATGCCGTGTCCCAAGCAGCAGCCCAACCCCTGCCCACCGTGCCCGCCCCTGACCCGCCCTCTTATTTCTGCATATTCTCTTCCCTGCTAAAGTCCCCTGGCCTCCTGCCCCTCCCCACCTTCTGTTGATTGGTTTGCTGTGTGTAGAGCGGGGGCCTTGCCCTGGGCGGGACCCGGGAGCCCCGACCGCAGGTGCAGCTCTGCCCTTCCCCCCAGCTGCAACTGCAACTCCTCCATGCCGCGGCCGGTCAAGGTGGCAGCCGTGGGCGGCCAGAGCTACCTGAGCGCCATTCTCCGCTTCTTCGTCAAGTCCCTGGCCAGCAAGACCTCCGACTGGCTGGGCTACATGCGCTTCCTCATCATTCCCCTTGGTAAAGTCGGGCAGGGCCTGGAGCGAGGAGCGGGGAACAGGGCCCGGGCAGGGCCTGGAGTGGGGAGCGGGGAGCGGGGAGTGGGGCCCGGGCAGGGCCTGGAGTGGGGAGCAGGGCCCGGGGAGTGGGCAGGGCCTGGAGCGGGGAGCAGGGCCCGGGCAGGGGCCGTCAGGGAGGCCGGGCCCGGGCACTCCTGCCACGTCATCCCAACCCGCTGGTCTTTGCTGGTTTGCCGCAGGTTCTCACCCTGTGGCAAAGTACTTGGGCTCCGTGGACAGTAGATACGGCAGTGCCTTCCTCGACTCTGGCTGGAGAGACCTGTTCAGTCGCTCAGAGCCCCCGGTCTCAGGTAGGGAGCAGGGGTGAGGCCTGGCTGAGGGAGAGGCCGAGGGGCCGGCTGCTCCTCCGCTTTGGCCTCTCCCCGGCCCCCTGCACACTCGTCGTCCAGTAAGTGCTCTGTCGGTGGGGGCTGGTTACTGCGGTGTCGGCCTCCGCTCCCACACATCCAGAGCGAGGAGGGCCGTGGTGGGGGCGGGCGGGCCGGCTCAGGGAGCAGCCCTGCGAATATCGCCTGGACGCGGTGGGCATCAGGGCGCGCCAAGGCCGAGCACCAGGCGGAGTTCTGCCACCCGGCTGGGGTGGGTGTGAGCCGGGGGCACGAGGCCCCCGGGGAGGGAGGGGCCGTGCTCTGGTTCTGACTCCCTCAGTTCAAAACAAGGGGGTCTTGGAGACCCTTCTCCACCTGAACGCCCCGGGGCCTCTGGCGGGAGTGCAGGAGCGGCCCCGGAGGAGGGGCACGGTTTGGCAGAGCGGCCCCGGAGGAGGGCTCGGTTTGGCAGAGCGGCCCCGGAGGAGGGCCCCGGTTTGGCAGAGCGGCCCCGGAGGAGGGCCCCGGTTTGGCAGAGCGGGCCCGGAGGAGGGCTCGGTTTGGCAGAGCGGCCCCGGAGGAGGGCTCGGTTTGGCAGAGCGGCCCCGGAGGAGGGGCATGGTTTGGCAGAGCGGCCCCGGAGGAGGGCTCGGTTTGGCAGCTCTCCCGTGGTGTTTCCGCAGAGCAACTGGACGTGGTGGGGCGCGTGATGCAGTACGTGAACGGGGCAGCGGCGACGCACCACCTGCCCGTGGCCGAGGCCATGCTGACCTGCAGGCACAAGTTGTGAGTTTGGCTTTGGGGCGTCTTGAAGCAGCTCAGTCTCCTTCGCTTTCCTGTGTTTTCCTCTCGCCCCGTTTGCCTCTGCAAACCCAGCAGGGTGAGCGTGGGCCTCCTCCCTGGGCCTCCCATCTGTACTCCAGGAGACCGGGTCCCTGTGCCCGCCCTCAGCGTAGAAGCGGCCGTCCTGAGGCCCAGATAGGGGAGAGTCAATGGCAGTCAGCTGGGGGCGGGCGGGGGAGGAGCCCCCACAGACCGCGAGCCACTCGCTCCCTCCCTCCCCACCTCGCCCCCGACCCTCTGCTCCGGGCGAGCACTGACCCTGAAGCTGTCCTGTCTCTACAGCCCCGACGAGGACTCCTACCAGAAGTTCATTCCCTTCATTGGCGTGAGTACTGCCCCAGGCCACGCAGCCGCGCGACACTCGCCCACAGCCGTGGATCCTGGGCGCTGGGGAGGGGGCTTCTGCCAAGGGTGGGGGTGCCCCGTGACAGCACATCCTGCACGTGCACACACACCGTGGCGTAGGGCAGGGGAGGCCCAGGCCTCCTGTCCGGCTGGCCTCTGGATGTTGTCCTTTTGCGATCCTGGACTGTCCCCGACCCAGTGCTGCTCTCTTGTGCACTGCCCCGACCCCGGGGCCTGGCGTCCAGAGCGTGGCTTCTGCAGCCCCCGGGGAGGAGACACTCAGACACGGCGAAGGGTGACTCCCTAGCGAAGCCTGGGACTCGAGTCCGCCTTCCGGTCAGAGGAAGGGGCTGTGTGCTTGTCTGTTCAGCCGAGGAGTTTGACGGGAAAGGCACAACCTCTGGCGAGCTTGGTGTCGGTGTGCTGCCCTGGTCTGTTCAGTTGGCAGTGGCTGGGCCGCAGGGAGCAGAGCCGCAGAGCCCTGCCCCGGACTGGAATGCACGCTTGTGTTTATAGACACAGTTAGCCCCCGCGTCATCGCTCTCTTGTCTTTTCGGGGATCCTGGAGGAGAGACGGCTTAGCTCCCCGCTCTTCCTGCACACCCGAGGTTCTGTATGTCTTGGGTGAGCTGGCGAGACGTGGCCGTCCCGTCCTGCGGTGTGGTCGGTCCCGGCTCACCCCTGCTGTGGGCCTCAAGACCACTGCCCACTGCCTGGCCCAGACGCCTAACTCCTGTATCACGAGACCTGGGTCGCTGCTCGCTCTGACTTCACAACCAAGATTTGAAAAAGAAAATGTGTTTGGAGAAACCAGAGGCGCTCACAGCCCCCACAAAATGCCAGGGGAGCAGGGGAGAGGGGGTCGCATCCAGGAAGCCCCGGCGTGGATTTATTCCTCTCCAGAAATCAAAACAAGTGTGCAGGGCACTGGGACAGAATTCTGTGCGGCCTGTGTTGAGGGGGGCCCTCGGTCCCCACGTGGTCGCCACTGCCCATGCGCTGAGTCCAGTGTTCCTCCGGCCCTGACTGGCCACAGGTGCTGGGACACAGGACACTGCAGCCCCATAGCCCTATCACAGTCACAGTCTGTCTCCAGCTGGCCTTGGCTGGCCACTGGGGGGCCCCCTCGACCCTCTCCAGGATTCCCTCCAGGGAATCTAATTCCTGAGAATTCTGGGAACGCCAGGAGCGGCCTGGTGTCGGCACCCTCACGTGTTCACGTGTCTCACAGCTCCTGTGCCCACGCTGCGACCCTGGGCAGAGCCGTCGTCCTCGCCCCGTGTGGTTTAGGAGGGAGATCAGTGCACGGGGTGGTTCCTGCGGTCGGGGCTGGGCGTCCCCCTCCCCCCCCTCCCCCTCCCCCAGGGGAGTGTCACAGGCTCCCATTGGCCTTTAGAACTGGCGTTCACGGCACCGCTGGGGACCTGGGCTGCTCCCGCTTTGTGCAGGTGTTAAGTAAAAGAACGGGGGGCTCGGTGACTGTGCCGGCCTCGATGGGGCTGACGGTGCTGCTTCCTTCCGCAGGTGGTGAAGGTGGGTCTGGTGGAGGACTCTCCCTCCACTGCCGGTGAGCCCGCGCTTCCTTGGCTTCTGGGGCGAGGGCGGCGCCTCCTGGGGGCCAAGGCTGGAGATGCTGCTCTCAGTTTCTGGAGCCCAATGACGCAGCTGGGGGCAGCAGGGGTGCTGGGAGGAGGGAGAGGAGGGAGAGGCCCAAAAGGAAACAGGGCTGCCACCAAGACGGGTACCTCCCCCGTGCCACTCCTCCGGCCAACGGCATCTGTCCCCTGACAGGTGACGGGGACGATTCACCCGTGGTCAGCCTTACCGTGCCCTCCACGTCACCACCCTCCAGCTCGGGCCTGAGCCGAGACGCCACGGCCACGCCCCCGTCCTCCCCGTCCATGAGCAGCGCCCTGGCTGTCCTGGGGTAAGGCCGCTGCCCGACTCCTTCCTGCTGCACCCTCCATCCCAGGGACGGGCACACGGGGCGAGAGTCCACAGCAGAGGCCGGGGACCAGCTCGGGAAGTGGGTGGGCACGTCCCGCACTGTCTGTCTCCACTGCAGGCCCCAGTGAGGCAGTGTTGCGGAGGAGGGCCGGGCACGTGTCTCACGGCCCCTGTGCTGGCTTCGTCTGCTGGGGAGGCCGGAAGCGCAGTGGCACAGGAGCTGGGAGGGAGCCTGGAGCTAAAGGGACGGGGGTGTGGCTCTGAGGTCACAGGCTGTGATGAAGGGCAAGCGACTTAAAGTTTAGGTCAGGTGGGCTGGGAGCGGCTTTCCCACTGAGGCCTGCGTGGGGGGAGAGAGGTTCCCCGCGGCCTGGAAGTGAGGCAGGGTGGGCCGTAGCCGGGAGCAGGAAGGAGTGAGTGCCTCCTACCCGCCCCCCCTTCCTCTCTGGGTAGCAGCAGAGTGGGAGGCCTTGGCCGGCTTTCCCGGGGCCCCAGTGAGCGGCTCACAGCCCCTGGCCGGGGTCCTCCCTGTTCCCCCTCCTCTTCGCGTGGGCCCTCTCTCACTGCGGACGCGCCCTGCGGGAGGCGGGGACGGCCCTCTGCCCCGCCGCCCTCCTTCCGTCCCACCTCAGCTTGGTTTTTAATGGAACCGCTGAGAGGAAGCGGAGAGGGACAAATCAGATGACTGGCGGAGCTCCTGTGCCTATTGTGTCTGACGCCTCCTTTCAAGAAAACATCAGCCCTTTCTCCCCCGGCAGCTAAAATTATCCCTGAGCTAAAAGCGCCGTGCTTGAGAGACAGCGCAGGTCACCCCCGGCCCCCGCCCGCCGCCTCGCTCCAGCCCTGCCCTCATTTGGGCGCAGGCTTTGTGTGCCGGGCGGGCATGTGCACAGGCGTGTGCGCGTCCGTGTGCACCTGGCGTGGTGCCCTGTGGTTCGCTTGCGGTAATCGGCCCTCCGTCTGCTCCTGGCTCTGTCCTCGGCCGCGCTGACTCCAAGAGGGCGAGACCACAGAGCCGCCGCTGGCCCCGCTCAGGGCCTGGCCCCTCTCGCCCCGGCGGGCCCTTGGTGCTGGGCCCCGGGGCAGAGCCACCCTCTCCTTTCCTCTCCCTCCCCAGGAGCCCCAGCAGCCCGTACGGGGACGTGATTGGCCTCCAGGTGGACTACTGGCTGGGCCACCCCGGGGAGCGCAGGCGGGAGGGCGACAAGAGGGACGCCAGCTCCAAGAACACCCTCAAGAGCGTCTTCCGCTCGGTGCAGGTCTCCCGCCTGCCCCACGGCGGGGAGGCCCAGCTCTCTGGCACCATGGCAATGACCGTGGTCACCAAGGAGAAGAACAAGAAAGGTGAGTGCGGCCGCGGCCAGGGCGGGACGGAGCCGCCAGGCCTCCCTCCCCTCTGCCCACCCGCAGCCGGCCTGGGCCCACCCAGGGAACAAAGCCGGTCCCATGGGGCAGGCAGCCGAGGCCCCAGCAAGACGCTGAGCGTCAGTGCCCCCGGCATGGTGATGAGGCCGCTGGCTGCTGCCCAGTGCCTGGGGACGGACTGCAGGCCCGGGGACAGCTCTGCACCGCAGCCACGGTCGCCACGACCCGGAGTCTGGGAGGCCGCTCCAAGAGGCTTCCTGAACAAAAGGACACAGTGTGGTTTTTCCGCTTCAGTTTTCAGTGCATTTATTTCTTTGAAAGGCAGAGAGAAACAGACTTCTGCTGGTTCACTCCCCAGATGCTGAAGGCAGGAGCCTGGAGCGCAGCCCAGGTCTCCTGTCGGGTGCAGGGGCCTGAGCACGTGGGCCATCATCCGCTCCTCCCCAGGGGCTCAGCGGGGAGCCGGGGCAGAAGCAAAGGCGGCGCTTCAGCATGGATGCCGGTGTCCCACGTGGCGTCTTAGCCGCCACACCAAACGCCTGCCCCCCAAGTGCCCATTGAGAACTGGGGGCACACAGCCCCTTCCGGATGAAAGGAGCAGCTTAGGGCCCTGGAGGCAGAGTCGGAGGGTGGTCCTGGTCCTGTGCTGGGGGCAGCGAGGCAGGAGCCCCCTCAGCCGGGCCCATGCTGGGCACCTGCGGCTGACCCCAGGCCCTGCCTGTTGGGGGGTGCACCCATGCGCGGGTCCCCTGCGGCCCCCAGCAGCTTGTGCAGTGGCTCAGACTTGAGGAGGGGCCGTCCACTCAGCAGTGCCCTCCCTGTCCTGGAGCAGAGCCAAGTGGTGTGGGGAGCCCTCCCCGCACGCAGGGCAGGCCACGTGGGCCCCCCAGCCACAGCACGCCCAGACAGGGAGGCAGGCCTGCCCCGAGGCCAGCTAGCACATTCTGCTGGAAGGGACGTGAGAGACCATCTGGCCCCGTCCTCTCTGTGCAGCTGAAGATACCGAGCCCCAGGCGGGGGGTGGGATCTCAGCCAGAGCCACCCAGGGACCTGAAGGCCCTGCCCCGCGGCCTGGAGCCGGGAGCCAGGGGACGCTGGGAAGGGGCTGGCTTTCGCAGACCGCCCCTCTGCAGCAGGGGGCGGGGTGGGGCGGGGCCAGGGGCGGGGCCCTCACGGAGGTCGTGCCTGCTTGCTCTGCAGTCCCCACCATCTTCCTGAGCAAGAAGCCGCGGGAGAAGGAGGTGGACGCCAAGAGCCAGGTCATCGAGGGCATCAGCCGGCTCATCTGCTCCGCCAAGCAGCAGCAGACCGTGCTGAGAGGTGCGGGGCAGGGCGGCGCCCAGGCCCCGGCGGGGCCCGCGGGTGCTGCCCGCAGCCCCGCTCACCTCCTCTCCCTGTCACCCTCAGTGTCCATCGACGGAGTGGAGTGGAGTGACATCAAGTTCTTCCAGCTGGCGGCCCAGTGGCCCACTCACGTCAAGCACTTCCCAGTGGGGCTCTTCAGTGGCAGCAAGGCCGCCTGAGGCCTGCGTCCTGGCCACTCTCCCTCTGGCACTGCCACTCGAGACGCTGCCTCCCCCTCCACTGCCCAGCCTGCCCTCGGCCGCGCCTCCTCGCCTCTCCCTCCCCCCTATCTCCTCCCCCCTGCTCCAGGCCCCAGGCAGGTGGGTTTTGCCTCCTGGTGCCCGTGGTCCCTGGCGTCAGGTCCTCTAGGCCGTCCTTCCCAGGACTTGCCACTCTCCCCGCTGTGGCACCAGCGCCCGTCCTGGAAGCAGTAAACCTGGAACTCTGGTCCACAGTGGAGAGCCCACCCCCCATCCCCCACCACCACTGCCAGGATCTGGTTTCCCGTGGCCACTGTGGCCTGGCTGCACCTGCGCCTGCAGGACCCCCCCGCGCTCACAGGGGCAGGAAGCACTGCCTGCAGCCGGGGGCATGGGTCTGGGGTGGGGGCCTGCCCGGTGCCCCCATGCATGACTTCCCAGCATCCCCTGCCCCTGTGGGTGCCACGAGTCCTGAGCGTTTCTTCGGTTCTCTGCACGGCCGAGCCTGGGGGTCGTTCCGTGGGGCCACCCCGTGCACCGGCTGTGGCCGCTTCCTTCCTCTGCCCCCTCCCCCCCAGCACAGCTCTGCCTGGATCAGAGATGGAGGTGGACCCCTACCAGCACGTGCCCTGCCAGCTGCCCGGCCCCCTGCCCTGCCCCCCACCCCCGTCTCCCTCCAGCAGGCTCCTTCCCTCCCTTTGGCCACAGACCAGGGTCGCAGCCCCTCCCCGGCCTCCGGAGAGGCCAAGGACACGGGCCAGATCCCGGCCCGGCCCCGTGGCTGTGGGCCTCCAGGGCTCCCCGTTGCCCCTCGCCCCTCCTAGAACTAGGTTTTTGAAAGTGCTCTCCTCGTCCTCACCTCCCCCGGCGCCTCCACCTCCTCCGCGGCTCAGCCCTGCCGGGCATCTCTGGGCAAGAGGAGGGGTGCGGGAGATGGGGTTGAAGCTGGGGTTTTCATTCAATAAACTGGTGATTTCTTAGCACCTGCGCTGGGCCTCTGTGCCGCTCGCTGTGTCACTGGGGCGGCCCAGCCCGCCCTCTGCTCCCCTGCCACGCGACCTAAGGCCACCCGGAATTAGCCAGGAACCCGCGATGAGGGCGCACGCCCCTTCCCCCTGTGGACAGAGGCCAGAGGCAGGAAAGACACCGCCCCCAGCAGGGCGCACGCAGGGTGGCCCCCTCTTCTGATTGGAGGCCTGTAGGGGGTGTCTGCCCCCATCCGCCTGGGTCCTGCTGCAGGCTGGGAAGCCGATGAAGGGCGAGGCCAAAATCGTTGCCTGTGCAGGTGGAGGGGGCGGCTGGGGGACATTCAGTGTGTTTTCCTGCCCGCCACTCACCGTGGAGATGGGAAACGGCCGTGGCCTGGGTTCCCCCAGCAGGCGTGCCCAGCGGTGAAGGCTTGGGCGTCCTTGTCCTGCGGGCGGCCAAGTAGCGGAGCTGTCGCTGGCCTAGCAGAGAGGCTGTGGGCCTGCGTGGCCTCCCTGAGCCTGGAAGATGGGAGTGATGGCCGCCACCCCAGGGGGAGAAGCCAGCACAGCTGCAGAAGTGGCCCAGAAAGAACCAGGGCTCCCTGTGCGTGAGCAGCACTGAGCAAGGGTCCGTGGGGCCGCCAGTGAGCAGGGCGACGGGCAGAGGGAGGAGCTGGGAGGCCGGGAGCTGCGGGCCCGCGCAGGATCTGGAAGCAACAGCACAGGTGGGTGGGGAGGTGAGGGTGCAGGTGAGGAGGAGCCGGGTCTCGGCGCCTGCCTCCCCTGGCCTCCACCTGCCAGGCTGGCCCTGCTCCCTGAGGGCAAGGCACCTCCCAGGAACGGCCCGTCTCCCACTCCCTTCGGGCATCTCTCTCAGTGCCAAGGTCACCGGGGACCTGGGCTGCCCAGACCCTCCTTCCTGGCCTCCCTTCCGGCCCCGGCAGAACTCATGGCCTGGTGCCCACGTCACCAAACCTGGCCTGGCGGTGTGAACCGGACCCCCCAGTCCTGGAACCCCCAGCCCTGTGCTCTCCCGCCCGGCGCCCGATCCTCAGCAGGCCCCACAGCCCCTCCCTTCCAGAGCGTCCAGACCCAGTGGCCCGGCGCCCTGTTCTGCCGTGACTTTCCCGCTGGCTGCGGTCTCCTGCAGGACAGGGTTCTGCGTCCACCCTGTTCTTCCTGTGTTTCTGTCCACACCATGCCAGAGCGCGTGGCCAAGGGCAGCTCGTGTTAACACTGACCCAAACTGTCCAGTGGCTTCCCGATCCCTAGGAACAGTAACCAAACCCTCGCGCTAAGCTCCACAGTCTGCCTGGACCCGACTCCCAGCGCCTGCTTCATCCCACTCCTCTCCCTCTCCCCTCCCCCGCTGGCTCTCAGACACCAGGCACATCCTACCTCCGGGCCTTTGCATGAGCCGGTCATCCTGCTCTGCTACCCCCCGCCCTCATTCTAGGCCAGGCCTAGACTCTCCTCTCTGCCCCTTTTCTGCCTCTCCTCGGCACTTGGCATTTAATCATTCATTGTTTGTCTCGCACTGAAACGTAAGATCCAAGAACGGGAACGCCCGCCCCGCCATATCCTTGGCGCCCAGGGTGCTGCTTGGCCCGTCGTACACAGCAGATACTTGCTGACAGGCTGCCGGAAGGCGGTCCCTAAACCACATGTGCCACTCCAAGCGCTGTCCACGCCTCAGCCGGAGGCCACCTGCCTTTCCTCCCGGGCCCTGGGTGACAGGATGGACGTGGATGGACGTGGCCGAGGGCTGTGTGGCAAGGGCTCCCAGGACCCCAGGCGCAAGGCAGCTCGGGAAGGCTTTGACTTGGGCCTTGACACGGCTCTGCATAGTCCCTGAGAGCCACGGCCAGACCAGGGCAGAACTGTCCCAGGGCCACCAGAGGCTTTCTCTAAGGCCCAGGGCTGGCATGTGGTGCCGAAGGCGGAGGGACGGTATTTTACCTGCACATCAACTTAAGACTGCCTTTTTTTTTTTTAAGGTTTATTTATTTGAAAGATAAAGAGCTTCCATCTGCTGGTTCACTCTCCAGATGGCCACAATAGCCAGGGCCGCATGAGGCCAAAGCCAGACCCATCCAAGTCTCCAGTGTGGGTGCAGGGGCCCAAGCATTTGGACCATCTGCTGTGGCTTCCCCAGGAGCATTAGCAGGGAGCTGGATTGGAAGTGGAGCAGCCGGGACTCGAACCGGCGCCCATGTGGATGACCGTGTCCCAGGCGTGACTGAACCCACTGAACCATAATGCTAACCGCTGAACTGCTTTGTCTTTTTAATCTCAGTCGCTTCTTGGCTAGTACTTTATCTGTTTATTTAGTTCACAGGCAGAGTTAGACAGTGAGAGAGAGGGAAAAAAGTCTTCCTTCCGTTGTTCACCCCTCAAATGGCTGCCGTGGCCGGTGCAGTGCACTGCGCCGATCCAAAGCCAGAAGCCAGGTACTTCTTCCGGGTCTCCCATGCGGATGCGGGGCTTGGGGCCATCCTCCATTGCCTTCCGGGGCCACAGCAGAGAGCTGGACTGGAAGAGGAGCAACCGGGACAGAATCCGGCGCCCTGACCGGGACTAGAACCTGGGTGCCGGCACTGCAGGTGGAGGATTAGCCTAGTGAGCCGCGGCGCTGGCCTAGCTTCTTGGCTTTGACATAGCTCTGTGTGCCCATCCCCAGTGTGGTCTCAGTGGCATGTCACGTGCAGGAGTCAGCAGTGACACATCGCTGTTACCTGGAGTCCGTGCCGCGCACAGGTTGCCTTTGCCGCCCCCCGCCCCCGCCCCGTGTCCCTTTTCCCTCCAGAATCCCATTCAGGATGCTCACTTACCTGTGTGTGTGTGTGTGTGGCAGAGATGCAGAGACAGGGAGAGACGGGGGGGGGGCACCCATCCATTAGTTCGCTCCTTGGGTGCCCACAATGGCTGAGGCTTCGCCAACCTGAAGACGGGAGAATGGGAGCCCGGTCCAGGGCACCCGAGGCGAAGGCAAGACCCCATCTCCTGGAACCCTGACACTGACCATAAGGAACGACATTCCGACAACGCATTACAAACCGAGACGCACACCCCGTCGTTCCCACGTGGGACGAGGGGTCTTCACCACCAGGGCCCACGCCGGCCCCGGGAGCCCGTTCCCCCACCTGGCCCACCTGAGTCGCCATCGCAGCGGCATTCACTTCCCGCCAGGTTAGCTCCCACGCTAGGCACTGCTGATACAGGGGGGCACGGCAGCTGGAAGGTCAGCCCGGAGCAGGCGCCAGCGTGAGAGTGTGCAGAGGAGCACGGGCAAGGGGCTGTGCAGGTGGATGCTCTGGGCGCAGGAAGCAGCGAGCCACACACGAGAGGGAGCCCGAAGGGCCCTGGGACCGCCCGTGGCTCAGCGTGGCTGAAAAGGCCCCGAGGCCCTCGTGGCCGCGGTTGCCTCCACCGTGTGCGGAGCAAGGGCCGTGCGCTTCGTGCTGCGAGGCCGGAGCCGGAAAAGGGCTTCAGCCGAGAGCGAGGGTGGCATTCAGGCAGCTGGCTCTGCGGCGACACGGGAGGACACGGGCCTGGCCCTCGGCCCGGGAGGTGAGCAGGAACGAGCACACATGAGCGATGAGCACAAGGACCCAGGGGAGGGCAGAGAAGTGGGCGGGCCCCAAGAGCGGATTAAGACAAAACCCACAGGTTTGGCAGGTTAGAAATGGGACGGCAAGAGGCAGGAGGGCAGGCGCTGTGGCGTAGCCGGCAAAGCCCCCACCCACAACACGGCATCCCACAGGGGCGCCGGTCTGAGTCCCGGCTGCTCCACTTCCAGTCCAGCTGGAAGGTGGCCCAGTGCTTGGACCTCTGTCATCCAGGAGACAAATGGAGCTCCAGCCCGGGCCAGGGTGGCCATTTGGGGAGTGGACCAGCAGATGAATGGAAGATGGCTCTGCCTCTCCCTCTCTGTAACTCAAATAAATAAAGCCTTTTTGAAGGGGGGGGGGGGGGCGTTGAGGACAGGGACTGGCCAGCAGCCCTGCAAGACGGGCAGGTGGTGGGGCGTTCTGCGGGAGATTTGGGTAGGGGATGGCAAGCCGGGTGAGGACAGAGGGTGTGCGTTCTACTCCAACTTGGAGGTGACCGTCTGGGTGTGCACGGGGCTCAGAAGAGGGGTGGACACGGGGGCTTCCTCTGGAGGTGGGAGAGCCAGCCCAGAGCAGGGCTGACCTCTCTCCTGACCCCGTGGGCACCTGCTGCGCGCTCTGCTGATTGCGCTTTCTCTCCGGCCACCCTGTGTGTCCCCCCCTCCCCCTCCCCAGCACAGGGTCTGTCCGCCAGCCTGGCTAGGAAACAGTGTCTGTTAGGCACGAGGCAAGCTGCCGAGACCCCACACTATTTATTCGGTCTCTTGTGACCAGCAAGGTGGGTTTTGAGAAACCCTTTGTGCAGATGGGCAAACAGATGAAGTGACCACGCATGCCTAGAAAGCACGCCGCTGGCAAACGGGCAAGGCTGGCTTTGAACCCCCGAAGCCTGAGCAGGACGAGGGACCCTGCCAGCCGGGCTGGGACACGGCAGGGAGGGAAGCTGCGGCTTCGCCACGCGGCTGCCGGGACAGCGACCGAGAGCCGCCCTGCGTGGACGCCGCGCAGACTTGGTGTGTGCCCCGGCGGCAGGAAGAGCGGCCGTCGCGGGTGTCCTCAGGAAGGGGGAAGTTGTGGCCTTGGAGGAGCTGCCAGCCTTGTGGGAGAGCAGCTGCCACTTGGGGGACGGGGGGGGGGTGAGACCCTCAGAGAAAGCGCCCCCCACACACCGCAGAGGAGGGAGTGGAAGAGAGCGGGTCCCAGGGGGCAGGTGCTTCTGAGAACCCGGAGCGGAGAGGCGGTTTTCCGGGAGCAAGAACAACTCCCCCGGTTGGGGCGGGGGTGGGGCTGCCCTTATTCTCCACTGAGCACCCATCGGCAGCCTGGCAGGGGCCCAGAAGAGCGGGGTGCAGCACCAGTCCCTCCCCTCGGGAGACAGGGCACACAGAGTGATCCTCAGAGACA